GCTGCAGAAGGTCCGTATCTCCAGCAGCTCAAGAAGCTCCGAACTGCCAGAGATTTCAGTGCTCATGTGGGATCAACATGCTGGGCCTAATGCTTTTCCCCTGGCTTCCGAAAGGTCAGAACAGCACTATATTGAATCTCTAAACATACTGATCACACAGCTCTGCTAGCTCACTAGAATCCATTAATATCCAAGAACTGGGAGGGAAGGGGAAAAAAAAACCTTCCTCCATGAACTTAAATCAATTAGCTGGGACTAAAAAATGTAGATTCTTGTGGAAGAATAAAAAATGGAAAACACCGGGCCTCATTATCCTGTCCCTGAAGTGCCAGAGGGTAAAATTATCTTTCGTGATGATGTTCTGCATTGATTAGTCAAACATGTAGGAAATCATATTAAAGATTTGACACCTGACATGGGATCAGAAGAGCTGTGTGCTACAACGGCACGTGCGAATGCTGTGGGAAGGCTTTATGTGTGCTGGGCAAAGGAAAGGAGGACGGGAAGGGAAGGCAAGCTTGGAAATACAGTGGGAAAAGAAAACTCGCAAAATTCTCCATGGGAGAATCTTACAGGTTTTAATACAAGGTTCAAGAAAAAGAAATTTGTTTCCAAAGAAGGTATTTCAAGAAGCAGCACAGTAATTTCCAAATCATTTCTTCCTTGCTTTTTTTTGTTAATTATCCCGTCAAGTCCCAGACCCAGAAGCTGTTGGATGCATTCAGGTTTACCAGGCAGAGCGCATTCTGGACAGCTGCGTGCAGGAAACAAGCACTCTCAGAAAGGCAAGTTGCTGAAGTAACCTCACTTCTGATTCGACAAACAAGTACAATCTGAACTAACTTAGAAATGTTGTCCTGAAATGGGAGGCTCCTCAGCCTCCACTCTGCAGCAGCCATTCCAGCAAACACCTCAGATTTCCCCAAATTGGGAAGGGGAACAAAGCAACCTTCAGCTTTTGAAGTCGTGCCACTGCTCCATGAGTGGTTTGCCTGATCCAAGGCTGGAGACACAGCACTGCTGCAAGTCTCTGACGTTTCATATTACAGTCTTGCACACCAAGAAGCCTGCAGGTGGCTTTTCTCTCCACTCTGCTGGTGGTGAGCTTCATAATGCACGCCTATATGACCACAGTGCTGACTGCCTTCAAAACGATAAGCTGGTACGTGAAAACAATGCATAACGTAGCTGTAGGCCTGTGCTGCTATCAGGCAACCATCAGCAGCAGCCCTAAGATCTTCCAGCACTTTGGGGCTAATTTCTGTGTCAGTGGTAAGTAAATTCCATGGCACAAATAGCCTAAATTACATGGCAGATTAGACTGTGGGATGCATAGCAAACATTACTTAAAGCATTTTGAAAAATGCTGTACAAAGTGCAGTACAGCGATAAAATAGAGCAATACCTAATTAATATGCATAAAAAGCCTTATAAATAATTTTAACCTGTTCCTTACCACTGATTCCTAAGTGTGAACTCTACTGGAATCAGCTAAGCAGAAAAATATCTTGGCTGTAAGATAAGGATGCCAGAAGTGCGAGATGCTTGCTGAAGAAAACTGCCCATCAGCAGAGCGGTGGGCTGAGACCTGCCCCTTCAGAACTGTTATTTCCCTGAAGTTGTCATCGCCCTCTGAATCCAGACCAGCCCACCCCATCCCGCCAACAAATCAACCAGGTTGCAACGCCCAGCTTAACGCCTCTGTGGGAACGTCTATCTGGGTTGTCTGGGTTTGCAGCTGGACGGTGAGTGCTGCTCAAGTCCACAACCCAGAGCCAGGGGTGACCTAGCAGCATGAGAAAAGCCGGCTGAAACTGCAGCAGATGGTTTTACGGGCACAAAGTTACAGAGAGCCTCTGACAAGAAGCCAATGCAGCTCGTGCACTTTCCTGGACTCGTTAGACAAATGGCCTGCACAATAGAGTCCCCCTGGCAGCTCTGAGTAGTGGGGCAGCAGGAGGCAAGTACAGCATCCATATATTCACAGGTACCTCTAATGTACACAAAAATATATAATAAGCATCAGCAGCCTTCATTAGAGTGCAACTAAGAATTATGGAGATCCTAACCTTGCAAGCCGAATAAATTATTGCCAGAGGATTATTATGTATTCTAACAATATCTAATGTACCTCTTTGTCTCCCATAAATTACAGGGCATCGTGTGACTCCTAGAATACATTCTGCCTCTTACATAGCCACTATGTGGTCTTCCCCCCCCCAAATACACACAATAGGGACTCTAATCAGCATGGTCTTGCATAGAGATTTTAATAGCTGAGAAAAACGTAGTTGCAGTCACATGTTCACTGGCCTGTTGTAACTATTTCAATTACCAAAGCAAATGACCACAGTTTAAATGTGCTGATAAAGGGGAAGCTCATTTACAGTGTGTATATAAGAATATTATTAGCTACGTAGACCCCTGTTCACAGCTGCCTGGGAATTTTACCAGTGTGTAAAGTATCTCCACCCCTTGTATGCTATGGTAGAGTTCCTATGATTAAATTTCTGCCTTTCAGGCAAAAAATCACCAATAACACCTGCTGCTGCATTGACTCGTCCAAAATGGACTTACCAATGACTGCCAATAGTGAGTCATCAAACTCAATTCACTTCAGCCAGCAAAAAAATCCCCCTGTATTTCAGCACCTTCTACTCACAGCTGATGAGAGATGACACCTACAAGAATTTAGGCCCTGGTATGGTGTGCATTCACACCAGCCAAGCTGTCTGATTTACATCGAGAAACAGATGTCCCTCAAGTGATCTTGAGATTACCAGCACTCGGTATTCCTGCCCTCGCTTCTGAGCACAACCAGCCAGCACTGGGTTTGGCTGTTACTGCCCAACAGACTGACCTACGTGCTGGGTATCCGCTTCAAGGTTTTGAAATGTCTGGATACACCAACAGGCACCAAAGAATTAAAAAGCTTTGTGCAGTTTTTGTTGGGATGGTCATGAGAAATACATTGAGAAGCGCGTTGTATTAAACTGCAAGGAAACCTAAATTTACTTTTTAAAAAGTCCCATTTCGTTTACAAGGCCTCAACGTTTTACATCATTCTCTCAAATGCTTTCTGGTTCGGGTTCCTTCACCACTTAGCCTGGCACACGCACACATTAAAACCCTCTTTTGATATGAAGAGTCCAAGAAGGATATTGTGCTTAAGACTTCATGGACTGTATTTTTAATATATATTAGCAAGATGACGGATACCCTGAGTGGACCAGTCAGGGAAAGCAAACGAAGACAAGAAATATTCTCAGGGTGTTATTGATTACCTGTTTTTCAGAGCAGAGGGAATCATTTTTAACTGGTTTAAACTATGATGGACTCAAGTGGAAAATGCAAGCAGAGTTAGCGAGGAGCATAATTGACTGGGCACGGAACTAAGTAACCTCTCAGCACGCTGGAAGTGGTGGAGCAGAGGGGTTACAGCCAGGGCTGCTCCAAACCCACCGCCCTTTCTTCCCAAAGTGAACTCCACCAGCAGCCAACGACGACAATGACAACAAGTATGGGGGGGGAAAAGAGGAGAGGGGGGAAGGGTCCAGCCACTCAGTTACATGATCTAAATTCTAATCAAACATCATTTAAAGCATGTTTTATTTCAGCCTCTGGAGAGATAGTCCCTCCTGACTCCTCACCATGGCAACCGGTGTCTCATTTCAGAAGTGTCATGCCACATTATCATCTTGCCGGCTCACACACTCCTGCCTGACAAGTTCTCTCTGCCCCTTGTGACAACCATTCCAGGCTTATGCTGTTTATTTTTGGTGTCAGGCTGGCCCTGGCAGATTGAAAGGCAACCTCAACCCCTTGAACAACGAGCACCACACCCCACTTGGTGATAAGAGATGATTTGAGAAGATATTTGCTTACATGTGTATAAGCAATTTGCTGTATGATGAAGCCCCGGCGTGCCTGCGTGAATGCACGCGTGTGTGTGTGTGCAAAGGGGAAGGAACTGCAGAAGCGTAACATTTCATGAGAAAACAAACGATTCATTTCGGATCCCAGGCAGTAGGCTTCAATCATCAGATCCTGTCGTACACACAGGATATGAAACGTGGGCCAAAAAGGCACCAGGGTATTCCCCACAAAGAGAAATGACAGCTAAGCTCGATCCGTCCCTGCGAAATACCCTCGCTGTGTCCCTGCACAGTGCTGCAAGGTGCAGCAGCAGAGGCACTCATAGGAATAACGGGGACAAAACGTAACGGCAGCTCGCTGCAGGAACATGCTAGGGCCAGATTCATCTCTGCTGTCATGGAGTCCATTTGGAAAAGCACTGTTGACAATGAATTACTTGGGATTGTCTGCAATTAGAATCGCACAACCTCGTCTTCAAGTAGCGGGCTGTGTGCATCATGGAGGGCTTCCTTTAACTATTCCATTTTTACAGCCTGTACATAAGTAGAATAATGTCTACAGCTAGGGTTTCTTAGTGCAAGCACAATCAAAGCTGATAGCAATTACAAAAGTATGTATTACACTTGTTTTTAACACTAAGCTTAAGAATACAGCAGCACTTTTTATATATATTTACTCGGATGACTGAGATGGCGGTGGTAGAGCAGGGCTTCTCTCCAGCCAGAATCAGGGACAGCATCCCACCCTCCCACCTCATCAGGCACAGAACAAGTTGTTCCTGGACCAACTGCTCCACTGCTGCCTGTCAGGAGGAAAGCTCCAGGGAATCAGAGATGATGTCCAGGTAGCAACAGCATGAAGGAGAAATGAAGGAGTGGGTTGGCAGATCAACACGGATTTCGTATTTACCGTCCAGCCCAGTTACCGTAGGCTGTGCCTACAGTTGTGCACTTGATTTAGTTTACAGGCACTGCTTTGGCCTTGGGTAACTTGACCCAACATCTTTTATGTTACCTCAGAGAAGGAATCATAAACTGAGCAAAATCCACCCCATTAACTCCAACGCAGGCTTTGATCAAATCGAGAGCTAACTGGAAAGCAGATTTCATTAAAAACAAACAAAGCAAGATGTGCATTTAATTTTTAATCCTTTTTCTAGCAACTGCACCATAGAAAGGCGGAGGCTTACAACAGCAGGGCATTTGTACACAAAATACGATAATCCCAAGGCACGCTAACGGCATCCACGGAGTTGGTAAGAGGGGAGCAAGGATGTTTTAAAAACTATAAAATGAGGAGAATTACTGTTGATTATGGAGCAGCGAAGAAACTCCACAGCTGTGAGTGACAAACACAGCAAATGCTACAGGGAGTCCTTCTGGAAAAGGAAAAAAGGGGAACGTTTCATCATGCAGAAAAATATCCCAGGAAAAAAGGATGGAGGTGACACTTGTGTGGCTGCTACCAACCGTGGGCTTCATTCTGCCCCCAGCTGCACACACGCAGCCCATCACCAGGTAGGATTTCTCAGTTTCTACAGCAAATGCAAGCGTACACCTAAGGGCAGATTTTAACTTCCTCTCTCAAACGATACACAGCAAATGGAGATGGGCTCCCATGGCAGCAAACAACTGCACGGCCACTTTGCTCTACAGGAAACACACCGTATGCATGGCAGTCAGCAGAACCTTTTTACTTCTTCCTGGATGTGCTGTGCAACCAGATGCAGATATATACACTTGCATGCATTGCTTCTACCACATAACCCAGCCTGGGATATCCCATTCCCAACACCTGAGTACCTCCACAGCTCTTCATGGGTGCAAAACCTCCAGGACTGCATCAGTGAAAGCGGAACAGAACTCGCGCTGCCTGCAAGGCCCATCTATTCATCTCCACCCACAAGACTCCCTCGCACCACTGCATGCTTTTTATACTTCATTAAAGCAAATCGCTGATGTTCTTCAGTAGAAAAACATCTCTGGAAAGGATGCAAAGAGCGGCAAGAATTCGGCTCGGGAAGGAGATCTATTTTCATCTTACATTTACAGTTGCTTGTGCATATCTATATATCCATCTGTACCCCTATCTTCATAAAAACCTAACTGCAACAAAATAAATGATAATAATTCTGCGGTTTCTGTTTCCTCTCTTCCCCACCAGAAAGCTGGCAATAAAACAACAAGCTCTCTAAAACAGGCATTACCAACCCAGGCCATGCAAACAAACACTTCACCGTTTTATAATCTCACATGTCGAATGAACATCATCGTTCCCTTCGGTGCCTTAAAATATCAGGTCCATAAAATTACTAAAAGGCAGAGCAGCAGTGCTGCCTAACACGCAGCCCACGGGAAGGCTGACAGTGCCCCATCATCTTCACTCGTTGGCAGCTTTGAATGCCCATGGCAGCGCTGGTTAGGTGAAGTGCTCACAGAGCACTGTGTGAACACAGTGGGATCCTGGGGATGCAGATGGGTGCAGCTGGCTCCCTGCCCTTCTGCAGGGCAGAGGATGCCAACACTGATCCTAACTCAGCGGCAGAGGGACACCGGATACGGGCATTAAGGTACTACTCCTTTACACAGCGTGGTCAGCCCACTGCTGTAGATGGTTTTAAATAACACTGTGCACTGTGTGATGGATGTTGACAAAACAAAATAACCCTATAATTAAAAAAGACCCAAACCCTGAACCGACGTCGCCAATGAAAGATACAGAAATGAAAACACGAGCCTGGCTGCTACGGGCTCTCCGTGGTCCAGATTTACAACAAACCTATAACTCTGCAGCCTAATAAGATCAAGTTGCTGGCAAAAGGGGGAGGGGAGAGGAAAGCAAGCCTGCGCTTTGCGGAGGGGAGGAAGGAGGCCGGTGAAAATGCTGATATTTACTTAGCATAAGCGCTGGGCTTGTACAGCGCTCCGTCACGGCGCAGCCCGAAGCTCCGCGCACACAACAGCTGAGGGCACGTGCGCAACGTTCTGCAGCAGCCCGAACAGAGCGCGCAGCGCTGCGAGCCGCGCGGTGCTCCCGGCCTCGGCTTGGGCTCCCGTCGCGAGGCCGTGCGGTGCTGCCCGAGAACCGCGGTTCCTCTCAGACAAAGGATTTCTCACAATGCTTTACCTCGGGATCCCCAGGACTCCTTTGCAAACATGTTTACGTGGGGCCGTAACTTATCTACTTTTACAGACGTTCGCGCATCTGTGCGGCGCGCAACACCGCCCCGTCGGGGAGCGTCCCTTCAGGCGTTGGAGCAAAGCCGACGCGCCAGGATCCCCCCCGCCTCAGGGCCGCCCCCCGCCGGGAGCAGAACGCCCCGCCCCGCTGCCCTCGGAGCGCCCACCCGCGCCGCACCTACCGTCGGGATCCGCCGCGAACGGCCGCGTCGGTTTAACGAGGTGTGCAGCAGCCTCTAGCGGCGGAGGGCGGGCGCTGCGGGAGCCGCGGCGGGTCGGGGGGCTCCGTCGAGGCGAGCGGCGCTGAGGCAGCCCGGCTCCCCGCAACCGCTTCCCACAGCGCCAGGCGCGCGCGTGGCTGCACGGCGCCTCGTGCGCGGAGCGCAGCGCGCGACTCGAGCAATGCACGAGGCGGAACCTGAGCGCTTTGCTGCTGCGGCCGTCGGGGAGCAGCCCTGCAGCGAGCATGCCCTGCTTCCGAGGGGACGCGTTCCGTCGTCTTTTCCTCGCTTCCTTCTGTTTGAGGTCTGACGCGGGCCGGGCAGCCCTCAAGCAGCAGGAGCTCTGCTGTGCTGGAGAACCTCCCTCCTCATCCCCTCTTTATATTGCAGACCCCCAGCTGAGCTCTGATGAAGGCCCCCACATAACCCCGTCGTGGCCATCACCTGATGGCACTTTGTGAGGGGTTTCATCCGACGGGGTGGGGTTTGTGTGTGCAAAAGTGGATCCAGGCTGCCGCGTTCCTCTGCTGTAGAAGGGCAGGCGGCTTTCCTGAAACAAAGACACGAGGACACGCAGTGAGCAGAGCCCGCAGATCCTTCCTGTCAGCCCCCGTTGCTGACTGTGAGCAACACGATGAGTGATTTAATTCTGGTTGGACATCGGATGAATGCCCATTAAGGGGAGACCCACAGTGAGGCTGTTACCCCTCCGAAAAAAGAAAAACCAAAAAAAAACCTCCCCTTTCAGATAAGCAAGTTGGCAGGTCTGATTCACCGTGTTTGACAACGGCCATCTAATTTGCACTCACCTACTGCAGGGAAGATTGGAGAGCTGTTAATTAGAGCTCCCTAGCACATGTTGCAGAAGCACAGCTGCTGGCCTTGGGTTGGACCCACCCTGCAGGTTCCCCAGCCAGGCCAGGTGCCCTCGGCTCCTGCAGGGTTTGTTCCCTTCCTCATGCCTCTTCTGTACCTCAGTTACATTCATTCTGTAACCCCCCCCTCGGTGCCTACAGATCCCCCCACAGACTCCCCAACCTCCCCGCTCACAGCCAGGGCAACAGAAACCAAAGCATCCTCAGAGCAGCTGTGTGCACCACCAGCTCAGAGCTCCACCAGGCACTTCCATGTCCCACACTCATCACTTCCTCTCCATGTTATCTTGACTGTATTACACCCAACCTTCGCTGCCACTGCACAAGTTGTATCTCTTGGCTCCCCCCGGCTCATGATTTGCACAAACTCCTCACAAACCCTCCGTCAGTTTTCTCCTGTTACTGGTCCGGCTTCCAATTTCTGAATCTTTGATGGTTCCCCTTAATTACATTCATAACTTCTACTTCTCTACTGCAGTCCCAGATGATGATGCACATCGGCCACTCAGCCACACGAGGAACCTTCTGCCCCACCAATTTTAATTCCTGGAAAGCCCTCCTCAGACCTCTGGACATGACACTTGCAGGAACCTCTCCATTACTGGTCTTCAAAGAGGTTCTCATTTCCCGCAACAGTTTTTCCTGCTTTCTGCTGACTCAGGTGAAAATCCTGAGAGAGGGCTGACATGGACCACATGCTTTCAGGGTCTTTCAATGCTCTAATTTCTCCATCACCTCTGCTCAGTTTCCTTCAATATTTCTTCTTTATGCAAAAGGAAATTTATCTTTCATTCTGGCACCTGCCCTGCCATCTGCCTTTGTGAACACGAAGGAAAACTGTCACTGAATTTTTTTTTTTTTAAACAATGTCCATCAATAAATAACCCTCAGCAGCTTTTAGAGTCTTTCCATCGCTGATCTATTATTCCTTTGGCCCATGCAACATTTCTTATTATTTATTATAACCTTTTTCACTGTCTTCCCTCCATTTCCCACCACCGCTTGTCTTGTCAACTCTTTTACTCCTTGGTTCGTTCTGCATTTGCAGCTTCAGGACCCAGTATTATCACATCCTTGTTCACACAGGCAGGGCTGCAGGAGCTCCCAGGAAGGCAACACACCACTTAAGAGGGAGAATTCAAAGGGTGGCAGAACTAAAAAAAAAAAAAATACAATGGAATTACAAGTATATGGCAATTACAAGTATATGACACATAAGAGGGAGGGCAGCAAAGACCTTGTGCTGATTGTGAATATCGCTGACCGTTTCACACCAAGCCTATGTATCCCACTTTAATTCATGCATTCCCTCTTTAAACCGACCCTCAGATATTTCCCCTTCTTTCCGTTTTATTCTGATTTGAAAATCCGTTGAACTTTCCACTGCTTTTTCCCAACCAGAAAAAAAAAAATTCTCAACTCCCTTTCCTGAAACTCAGTTTATTTTTAGTGACAGTGGTCACCAACTGCAGAAAGGGAGGGCTGTTGGTTGTTTTATTGCCAGTCTTTTCAATGCTGTTCTCACCCACAGGTCCATGTGGGTCATCTCTGGCTGTTAATAGTTGCATCCACCTTAACTCCTACAAGAGCAAGTGCAAAAAAGCCAGAGTCCTGTGGGTCAAAGCAGAATTGTTCCTTATATACAGGGAGCACATTTAACTGTCGTGCAGTTCCTGCCCGTTTTTGTGTCCCTGTTATTAATTGGTTTCCCTACTCATCCCCACTGCTATACTCACCCCAGCTCCAGCCTGGGTGCTCCATGGGACAAGGGAACCAATAAAAAGGCATTTGTGAAAATGACCGTTTCAGGGGAGATAAAATATCATTACGTGAAATGGATTTGCTGGCACTCCTCACCAAATTTAGCACCTATTAAATTATAGAAACCATTATTCCTCTTACCCAGAAAAGTCTGAAACTTTCTCTAAAAGACGTATTTTATTATTTTAAGTGAGGCTTAAGTGTATTTTTTCCTTGTGATAAATTTCCACAATATGAATTTTCTTAGAGATACAACAGTCTTGTTCGACTGAGTTTATTGCTCAAATAGGACAACAGCACTCCCTTCTTACACTGAAGGAATATTTCCCCTCTGAAACGAGGTGTTTGGAATGTAGGTAGCTGGGTTTTCACGTGGCAAGCCTTTAAGCAGCAAATATTGTCGCTGCTTAACCATACGAAATGATACAGATTCTTTTATTAACAGGGCAAGTGCTGAAGAACATCAAGTGCTTTTATGAAAAAAAAAGAAAAAAAATCATAGAATCATAGAAAGGACCACAATGATCATCTAGTTTCAATCCCCCCTGCTGTGTGCAGGTCACCAACCAGCAGCCCAGGCTGCCCAGAGCCACATCCAGCCTGGCCCTGAATGCCTCCAGGGATGGGGCATCCACAGCCTCCTTGGGCAACCTGTGAACAGTGCATAAAAACAGTGCTGTGCTTCCCAAGCACAACATAAGTAAACTCTGTCCCTGTGCTCTACCACAACATTTGCTAAGCTCTGACTTCTCACCAGCCTTGTATGCTGTACCAGCATGGACGGTCCATGCAGGATGGGCTGAACGGAGTTGTAGGAAAGAGCCTTTTTTCCTCAGGTGTGCTTTGGGAGGACGGGAGGCTGAAGGAACAGAAGTGTTGTCTGAGTCTCTAATCAAATTTCTCCCGGCTGGCTGTGAGAGGCCAAACTAATTAAACAGAACATCAACCCACTGAGGGAGTCAGGCGTGGGGAAAACATTGCCTGGAGAAAACAGAGTGGGTTGGAAAAGCAGGTGCCTCACAAAGGATGGAAGTGTGACCTTGCAGGACAGAACTGAAATGTGCTCATGGGAATACTTTGTGTAGGTGCCTACAGAGGTTTGGAGCAGATGTTGCCATATTCTTACATGCAGGAGGCAAATGAGGAGCAGAAAGATGAGAAAGACCGGTCCCATTTGATCACCGAGCATAGCAAGAGTGGAAGAGAGTGAATGCACCTCTGCAAACAGTTTTTTTCCTCTTCCTTTTTAACATGAAGAAACTTCGAAACACCTGCAGCGGGAAACAAAAGGTTAATTAAAAAGAACCCCAGTCTTTGCACTAAACTGATTGCTGGGACTCCTGCCAGCCTGGGAAGGTTAAAGAGCTCAAGCATGCGTGGGCTGTGGGGGGAATGGCTAAAATTTACAGCCAGCTCCCTGGAAAGTCACAGTTCAGCTGTTCTCCCGGAGCAGGTGCTCATGGGAGCGGGCCTGTCCCTTTCAAAGCGTGAAGATTGATGAAGCCTTCGCTCTCACCAACTGTAAATATACAACCAGCCTTGTCAGAGCAGGTTTGTAACATCACTTGCTGACAGCAAGAAATTTTTTTTAACCTCCTAAACACACACACACACACGCTTACCCCACACAGACTCACACACACACAAGTGCTACAAAAATAAAAATAGGCTTTTCCCAGGAAACACAGAAAGGCAATAAATAAAATGATGGGAAAGGCATTTATGTTTTCCCTGCCCGGAGAGGCAATAGACAGAGGACATGCACGGGGTGATTTCATCCTGTCCTGGAAAACAAGCAACATCTTCCTTGGGCTGTGCAGTTTATGGCCAAGTCCTGCGCGGGGCTCAGGCACTGCACAAGAGCCAACACCGCAGCCTGGTGGGCTTAAATCACTGCAGCACTGTGCTGCCAGCCGCCCTCCGTGGAGATGGAGAACAAGCAATTGTAAGAGAAGATACTGCTAAAATAACCATTTTACACTGCCCTGGTGTCTACTTGCTGAGGACTTCATAACGTGCTACAGATAGAAATTACTTATTCTTTGCAGCCCCACAGGAGGATCTTTAGAAAGTTGGACACAAACGTGCTTAGATTGGGATTTTCAAAGTTTTTTGGAGCATCCCTCTGAGCCTGGGGAACCACACAGACTGTGAATGGGCTTCAGTGACTGAACTCCTTGGATGATTGGAAGCAGAATTAGTATTCGTGTATGAGTTTATTGTCCTGCCCCAGAATTCATTTTTAGCATTGCAGTCGCCTGAACTAAAATAATTCCGCAGCGCCCTTTTCTCTTTTCTTTCCCAAGGAAATTCCTTCTGTGTTATCATTTTCTCTACAGCAAAATTTCAGGCTAATAGAAAACGTTGAGCAGGTTTCTTTTGTTTGGCATTGCCTTAGCAGAGTGGAGGGATTACACTGGTTGCTTTAGGAAACATCAGCTCAGTCTGTCTGCCAGCAAATTCTACCTCGGAAATTCATCAGCTTTTGTTTGGTGAGGATTTTGCCCGTTTGGTGGGGCACTGGCTTTTGGATTTGCTCCACTGCTTCTGTTCTGTTACTTCCTTCTGCTTGTATTAATAGAATAGCACACGACTCCCTGCTCCTCAGACTCCATGATCTATCCCACTGTGCTTTCAGGCAAAAACAGGCCTCCAATGCTTTGCTCACACTTTCAAAAAGCCTTGTTATCCCTTTCTATGAGACAAAGAAGTTTCTACGTCTCCAACGTGAAGCTCCAACAGGCCTTGCTTGCACGTAGACCTGTCCACCATACATTTCATTTGCATTTCTTTCGAGGTGCTTCAAGAATGAACACACCTTCAAAAACACCACGCAACTCGCTGTTTGCAAACTGCCACATTCTTCCTTTGCTCGTGTTACATCCGTCTCTCAAATTCTCCGCCTGACGTGGCTGTTAGAATTGCTAACGCTCTGTGATGAGGACTGCTGCTGTCATTTCGGCTGTGTTTACCCAGTGCCCCTCACAGCAGGGCTCCCCTCCCCACCACGGCCCCTCACACTACAGCATATGCTAATAAATAACAGGAGAACAAGATACTTCCCTCTTTGTGGCAGCAGAATTGTAACAATCCTGATGAATACGCCAAGGACTGGGAATGTTTCCAGAAGCTGTAAGGGAAGAAGCAGTAATTTATTGCAGGTGCTAAAAATACATCATATACCTGTGAATACAGGTGACCATCACTTGCTCAGGCAACCAGTGCTGTCCTTGGAGAGGGAAGACCACGAAGGTCTCTTTCCACTGTAGAGCAAACAGCAAAGTCCTCCCCAAGTTCTGGGGGGCAGGAACTGACACATGCTTGCATTTTACTCCACAACAGAGATGAAAAGCAAAGGTGGCCTGAAATACAATTAAACGTTCTAATGATTAAATAATATCCTATTTGGGTTTCTGGATGAATCCAAAATGTTGTAAGTAATTTTTTCTGTCAGGTTCATTATTACCCTTACACTTCATACAACATTGCCACATTCCTCCTGTTTAATTTTGCTCATCCCTTCAGCAAAGTCCCCGCTCTGATACATCCCTGGTTATGTGCCTGATCCTGCCCCATCTCTGTCTCCCCTGCACCCACTGGCACTCTCTGCCACTCCACAGCCACCGAAGCAGAAGGGCTGGGGCTCTGCCCTCCAGGGCAGCCAGGTGCTGGGGGGCACAGACCCCTTTGCACATGTGTATAAATGGAATCAGCTGTCCTGCTGTCAGAGCTCCCCAAGCTTCCAGGGCTCCTGATCAAGCCGCATTCCCTGAGTTATTCACGGATGCTTTCTCAGGAGCCTAAATGGATCAAGGTTTTTTTATGGCTAATAGGGCAGCTCCAGTTTCCGTCAGCTGAGGACGAGGCCAAACAACTTGCTTTCATTAGCTCATTTATTTTTGCCAAGAGGGCAGGCAAGGCATCCCATCCCATCCCCCATGAAACTCCCAATTCAGACTTTGCATGGCAAAGAGGAGGAACCCAAAGCAGCAAGCATGCCCGCTCAGCTCCAGTTCTCCCAGCCCTCCCACCCCACCCAGGGAAACATGCAGCATTACAAACTCTGGCAGCTGGGAGCATCTGATTATTTGTATGGAAATTTGCTCCAAGTTGAGAAGTGGATCAATGACTATTTCTCAAGCTGGCTCCATTTTGAGAACCAAAATTGACTTCTGGAGAAGCTGCTTGATTTCCCAGCTCTCCCCCACCAGAAAACAGATTATTGCATAGGGCAGGGGTGATATAATTCAACTCCAAATAGGTTTGGGGCCTATTAGACCCAAATATAAAACTCACCGAGGCTCCAAGGAAAAGAGAATTGCTCCGTGCTTTACTCTTCCTTGCCAGGCCCTTACTCCTGTCTCTGTTTGGTGTAAATCCATTTGCTTATATTCAGCACTCCACACAGATGGAAATGGCAGCTCAGGACATAACACAGGAGAGGCTCATTTCGAGCAATTTAGTTCTCCTCCTTTCCCAGCTCCCCAGTTTGCCCTATTTCCATTACCCAGCCGCGCCACCTCTGCTGTCTATATAGCATCACTGTCTGCCCACATCTCTCCTTGTTCTTTTTTTTTGCCCTTGAAAATACTTTTCTTCTACCTTCAGGCCTTTCCCTTCTGTGTCCCACGCCTCTGGGTACACCCACCGCACACCCCGTCAGCAGCCTCCCTTCCCCTGCCCAGGAACTGTGGGTGCTCTTTTGTCACTGTGTTTAAATCTGAAGAAATTCGGTTCACCTTTCACTACGTAGCCTCACCCCTCATACCATTCGGAGTGAGCTTTAATTGAACATTCTGATTATAAGAGGCCGCGTGGTGTTGAAGCCTTCTTTTCACAGCTGAGAGATGTGCCAAACACACATAGAGCTCGCCCTGCTCAGCCTGGGACAAGCAGCACCTTTCCAATCTGTCCTCAAAGGTGAAATGATGACTTTCCCTTCTTCCTCCCTTCCCTCTCAGCCTGGCCTCTCCCAGGATCAGGATCAGCCTGCAGAACACGTTGTGCTGCAGGAGCTGTTTGCTCTCGCCACGGCTCTATGGAAGATTTATCTTGACCTGTGCCTCTCTCTGCTCCATCCCAGCCTAGGGCAGAGTCCCCCTTCCCGGAGCCAGGTGTAACAGCAATACCCTCCTTCCAATTTGTCACTTAAAGCACTCAGGGGCAGCAGAGGTAACACAGATCCATGCTGTTGATGCACGGTCCTGGCTGCAGGTTAGCACAGTGCAGTGCCTTCTGCTAGGCCTCCATAAAGAGGCTTTTAATTTAGCTCTAATAGGGAGGTGATTGTATGTTAAATAAATACTAATTGATTATTTAATATATATGCGTTGAGGGTTAACTGCTATGTAATGAGCTCCTCTCCATTAGTGGGGCTGCTAAACGTCAATTAATATGGGTTTTATAATCAATTGATATTTCACATGCCCTAACTTGCCTGTTTAGACTTAATGGGTCAGCATTTCTGAAGTGGCCAACGCCAATAGATTCTTTATAAAATGAAAACACATTTGTTGGCAGATGTAGCACAGAGTGGAAAGTCACGGAACTACGAAAAGCTCAGCCAACCAGCTCTGCAGAGCTGGGCACGGTGGGGCCAGTCTGCCTGATACCAAGAGCTGCACATGGCAGAACGCTCTGCAGAGGGGAGCGGGACGCAGCCACCCTTCAGGTCCCACATAAGCTGCTCTTACTGCCCATTTGCACCTGGATGCGTGCTGGAGATGTGAGAGGCAGCACCCCCATTTGGAATGGACTGTCAGATGGCTTGTAGGGACAAGATCTTCAAGAATGACAAGGGGATTTGAACACATGGCTTCCATTTATTTTCATCAGCATCACGTCTGCGTCTCCCAGCTGCCTTTTTGAATGTCTAGCGGCTTAGATTTTACTCTCTTTGCCTCTTCTCCCCAAACACATACAAATAAATTACATGCAAGCTGTTTCTGGTATAGGCCAGGGAGAAAACAAGGAAGTTTCTAATGAAAGGAATGATCATAATTCATTTATGACCATTATCGAACACTATTTCTTCTCTAATTTCCTTATTGGCAGTTTTCCTGATGCGGCAGGGTTTCACTCAGCTTGCCAAAAACTCAGGCTGGAGGAGAAAGCACACAGAACGACCTGTGAGCATCACTTTGGGTTTGCCCCCATCTCCGTAAACTCATTCTGGTATGCAACAGCACTCAGTAAAGGGAACCTGATCGCTCTTGCTGTTGTGCAAAGCAGCTCATCTCACCTACCCTGGAAAAAGGCCAGTTCCCACAAACTGCCTCACAGCCCAAAGCCTGGGTGAGACAAGGTGTTCATCTCCCACACACGGTAGGTTTTGTAAAACCCACGGATGTTTTAAGTGATAAAAGACAGTGACCAAGCAGGGAAATGCAGGGCAGCACCTTCTCTTACTGCATCTGTACGGCGCTAAGACAATGGGGCTTAAAGCATCATTGCAGCCTTCAGGCAGTGTTATGATGCAGATAATAAAGATGAAGAAAGAACAAAGAGGAATGTGTGGCCAGCCCATGGTTTGAAGTCTCCAGGCTGATTTATGTCATCTGAGGATCTGGCCCAGTTAAATCTAATTTTAACATCCTTGACAAATTCGCTTTAACGGCAAACTGTCAAAAGGGAACCTTTTCTCCTCCCCTCATCCTTCCATCTCCATGAGCTGTTCCCTGTGACAACGCTGTTCTCGAGCTGTAATTGGCAGTATCATTCCATTATCACTTATTCTTTAGGCCTGAGGATTTCATTCCTTGCAATTTTCCTGTTGTACAAATTCACGTCTATTATTTTACCACACGTGCATGCATCCATTCCCTGTGTGTGCGCTGCGTGCCTGTGTGTGTCAGGGCAGGAAAACAGTGCTTCAATCTGAAAGGGCCATTGTCTTATAGGCCATCTGAAGGAAGCAAAAGAGCTAATTACTGGTGACAGGTAGTTATGATTCTATGACTTGCAGTAGGAGGTGTCTGGCACCCTCAGCAAACAGTCTAAATTCTCCTTATAAGCATTTTAAATGGACGATTATCCTAATGAACTTAATAGCATCGCTATCCAAGGACAGCATCAACTCATTGCCATCCTATATTTTCCAGAAATAGCTTCTCTTTAAACAGTGTGCCCCTGCTTTGAACAGTAATGGTTTTTAAAAGTGTCTTAGCACACAAAAGCAAAATCTTTTTTGAAACAGGGTGGAATTGGTTGGTGATTATCACTGAAAAGCTGGCAGCCACCAGCTAACCTTCTAACAATGAAATATGGGAATTTACCTTCATGCTTCAATGCTTGCTATTCAGCTGTCTACCAGGGTCTAAATCAATGATTCTACACCCTCCACTCAAGGTTTCTCTTTCAAATGCTGCAGATATGACCTTAAGTTCATCATCTAAACAATGCAGTTCACGTTTAATTTCATTAATCTAAGATCTTCCATAAAATTGCAATATGGCACCATACCTTTCAAGTACCTTCATTAAAATCCATGTTATTTCTAAATCCTATGCATATCTATGAGGTCATACGGTGTTTTATTAGAATGGATTTTTGAAAGGCTCAGCTCTTTTATCACCAATTGTCATAAGGTAGTTTACAATAAATTAAAAAAGAAACAAAAGAACCCCCCCACACGATCTCATTCCTACCACTTAGGTGGTAAACAGATCTCCCATTTCTGAAAGTTACCCCCTTTCCTAATTTTTACCCTCTTTCTGAGGATTTAACAATTGCAGGAAAGAGAAGGAAATTTTGAAACCCTCCTGACTCATGAATTTCTGCTACTTGCTGTGCCCAGTGCAGCTCCCTTGCTGAAATGTGTCCATTCAGATCCAAGGGCCATTATTTTCAAGCTTTGTCCCTATGTGTCTACGTGGCACCATGTTTTCAAACCACACGCTGGATTTTTTACTGTTCTTGGAGTAATATACTGGCACAAACTCATTCTTCTGCCGCATTCCTTCCCCGACCTCTTGTCTATTTCACAGATTATTTGGTATTGTAATAGTACATTGCAGGGCTATTCAGGAGCAGGGACCTCCATGTTAACAGATGCCAAGAACACAAAGGACAGATCGTGCACCATGAACCCACAGACCTCAGCGCTCCCCATCCGCACAGCTACAAGATATTTCAGGGAAAGAGAGTTTCTTCTTGATGTTGTGCTTGCAGGGAGCATTAGCATCCCCACAGACACCAGAGGAAGGCACCACCTCTCTGTGTTCCACCTGCACACCTCACACAAACATCCAAACACCGAAATTTTTCCTCAAAAGTAAAGAGGACAACATCTGTACCCAAAGAAAACCAATATTCCATGCTACTTCCAGGCTCTGAAGCCAAATACTGAGCAGCCTGAAGCTGCCCCGTGTTCCTGCCCTCAGCTCTGGCACTGTTTAGGTTCCAGCAGCAGACAGCAATGCACCGCTGCAGATATGTCATTTGTGACCAACCTGCTGATGACTGCAGCTTCACCTTCCTTGGTCTGTCTATGGAAGGCCAGCCAGGCAGCAGCCCCACGCCTGCGGTGTAGCATCACTCTGAAGAAGCAATTACAGCGAGCGGAGCAAGGAACTAAAGACAGCTCACCTAAATGAACTGAGGGAAAAGTACATGAGAAAACAAGAAAATGTCTTCATCACTTTTCAGGCTTCAAATTGGAAAAACAGGAATCAATACAGCAGAACTTCATTTAATGGTGTGAAAAACAATCCGGCCCGCGACAGGCAGGAATCACTTATTGCCAAACAAACAGGCCAATTAGGCCAGGCAGGGCTGTGGGGTTCTTCAGGGTGTGGGGCTCTGGGGCACAGCCAGCACCATCCTTGGGCAGCTCAGGTTCTTCATGCATACAGAACGGCAGCACCAGCACTGCCATGCAGGGATTTCATTGCCTTTGCTGTCATTGCCACCGTCAGCATGTTAAACAGATTAATGGAAGTGATGGAGAGGGAGCATAAAACACCCCGCCTTCGCCCTGGGCCGAGTGCCACCAGAACAGAACGAGGCTGCAGCTGACATTTGCAGAAGTAACACTGCGTTATTAAAACAAATTTGGCACGAAGGGAAAACATGTTTGCTTTGCACATAATAACAGCTACGAGAGCATATTCAAAATCAAATATTTGCAAGGCAGAGCACAAGGGTTTTCTCCTCCCCTTCTCCTCCTCCTGGCCACCCAGAGCCGCTCCGTGTGCCACTGCATCTCATGGCCAGAGTTTTAGAAGTAAATGCAGAGCAGACACCAGGCCTGAGCTGCAAATCTAGCTTTGAATCGATATTTGTCTGAAAAAAATAAAAATAAAAAAAATCAAGCCAAACCATGTGGCACAGCCTCTGGATGCGTTCACACAAAACTGCTACGCACTGCAATTTTTCTCTTGCTTTTTTTTTTTTTTTTTCCCTTCTCCCGAAACATTGGTTGTATTTTCTCCCTTTATTTATTGGAGTGCTGAATGGATTATTTCAGCAATAAATCAGGCCCTTTCATTACATTTTTTAAGGTGTTGTCGCTGTTATGAAGTACAGCGTGCCATCAAAATTAAGCTCGGATTGCATTACCACCTATTTTACAGAGAGACAGAATTACTTGATGGATTTTTTCCAGCTCTCTAAGCACTGGGTGTCTTTCCTTCACAGAACAACCTGCTCCCCAGCTCCACAGGAATGTTCTCCTACAAGCTATGAACATTTCACCCAGCCTGTCTCAGATATCTTTGTGTTATGTTTTAGAATAGAGTGATGCTATTTCTTTTAGCCCAAACTAGCTGCTCATGCAACCAGAAGGAATTGTTAACAGGTGAGGCGATGCTAAAGCATCACCCTGTGCTTGGCTCCTCCTTGCATACAGAGTACACATCAGGAGTGGCTCTGTTGATGCCAGTGCAGTTACCTTAGAGCAAAATTGCCTACACAGAACTGCAGTGAGGCAGCCCTCAGCTTTGCTGCCTCCATGGCAGAGGGCACTGAGCAAGGAGCTGATTCCCAGGGTTGGTTCTAGATGGCATCCACTGAGCATGAGGAAGTTTTCCTCGCCCACTGCTAGCTTCCCCATGCAGCCCATTTCATTGCTCTTCCGTACCCTGCAAGGCACAAATAGCATTACTTGGGCTACATTTCCAAGGAAGTCGCTATCTAAGAGACTTGTGTATGTACATTCTCTTCTCTTTGGGCATAAGCCCAAAGTAATTCTGTATGAAGCTCTGCAAGCAATATGAGAACAGAACCCTGCATGCAGCAAGTGGGACAGGAGAGCCCTGCTGAGCCCCTACCCCAACCCCAACTTCTCCTCCACTAAGCATTCCACCTGCAAAGAGCATTAAAACACTGCTCTGTTAAAAGCATTGGAACTGAAGCATATGCCTGAAGTTGAGTTTCCATTTCCCTTAGACAGAAGGCACAGAGGAGAGCTGCATGTTGCAGGCACTGTACTGAGTGGCAGAGCGGGGCCAGGCAGGCCGGTGGCCACAGCTTTCAGGCACAGCTCAAATCCACGCCACCCTGCTGCTGGTTTTAAGCAGTAGGTGGCACTTCAGGAAAGTTTCTCCTAAATTTCCATAGCTTTGCTGTGCACAGTGCTTTTCTGCACTCCTATTCTGCACCATCCCTTTAAATTTGCAGTAACATTTTTTGCCAGCACTTAAAGAAACCAGAACGTCCCTGAAGAGATGAGCAAGCAATGCCTCACCTGCACGCGGCTCAGCCTCCGCTCAGGCTGCTCCTCCTCCCATCCCACCCGCACCGGCTGGGAGCAATCCAGGGAAATTAGTGGCATTACCCTCTGCGAGCCCGCCAGCACTTACGCTCCAATCTTCAGAAAAGTGACTGCAAATCTGCAGCCACGTCTGCCTATTGCTACAGAAGTCATTTTCGAAAACTAGCAGCTGCACATTACGTGCGACACTGAACGCCGCGTGCGTCCGTGACCGCTGCCGCATCCTGAGACAGCGCTGCACAGCCCTTCATTCGTCTTCCCCGACAGCAACCCGGGACTCAGATGTGATGTTTCACTGAGACCTTCCTCCCCCAGCACCTGCAGGTGCCCCGCTGGGGATGGCCGTGGGCCCAGGGGCACACAGCAGGATGCAGCCAGGACACTGCCCAAACTTTGGTCGCCCACTGCAGACGCAGAGCTGCTCAAGGAGTTAAATGTATTAAGCAATTTACAATTAATATAGAACTCATTCCAGAGATATCTACTAGAGAGTACAACAGGGCAATTAACCCACTAATACACTAGGCTATTACATCGCTATGTCTCTTATTTTAGCCTGAGGTGATTTGAAACGCATTGGATTAAAGGATATTACAGGAGATAGCATGAAAAATAGCTTAATGTAATGAGCCATCCCGTGATGTCTGCTATTAAAGATGATTTGCAGTTGAAAACTACAACATACAGTAGTTCAGCCATTTAGAAACATGAGTGTTTAACTCTTTTCTAGCCCCCGTCCCTTGGAGGGATCCATGCGAGAGCCCCTCCTCTCTCCCACCTCCTCAGCCTTTATCTGAGGATTATCAGATGCATTTTATTAAAGCACAACGGTGCCACTGGGAGACCAGTGCCTGAGGTTGATAGAAAACCAGCAATCTGCTAATAACTTTTAGAACTAGATGCTTGAGACAGTAAATAGGCCAAGGGAGGCTGTGTGACCGGCGAAGTGCTGGTGAAATGGGAGCATCGTGCGTTTCTGCCCTGCCATTGGGCCTGTGTGGCAAGACACCTCTGCACCCATGTGCCAATAGGGGACATCAAGCCATTTCCCAGACGCTGCCCCAGGGCAGCCGTGGGATGCCAGGCAGGCTGATGGCATGGGAGAGCCTCCTTCTAATGGAGGAACCTGTCACTGTCACCACGGTGTCAGCATCACCGCCCGGCCCCGCTCTCATAGCGCCCTTCTGCATCCCTGCAGTCCCAGGCGGCACAGAATCTGTCATGCCTTGTTTCCATCCAGAGGAAGGAGCAGTGTGGGAGAAGAGCAGGGGATGACCAGCTTTTTCTGACCTCTTCTCCTTCAATTTCGCTCCTTTCTTGGCAAGGAGGAGGCGGCCATCATGCTAGGTGGAACCGACAGACCCATCTCTGCATTGCTCCCCGCACACACAATAGCTGTGTCACTCAGCATCAGGAACGGGATGACGTGATGACGTGATGACGTGATGGCCCCAACCCAGGCAGCTCTCAGCCCTCCTACTGGGGCAGGAGGACTGGCAGGAGGCTGCCGGACCTCAAGGCCCAGTTATACAACTCAGGCTCTCCTCCCCAGCAGGGCCTGTATCCCCCCGCCCTGCACAGCACATCATAGCACAGCTTTGGAAACAGGACTGCAAATATCACACAACACAAAACCAGAGGAGAGAAGAACAAAGAACAGATATATAACATCATTTCAGTCAATCGGGACTCGTTCTAGACGAGACAGGGTTTTGCAGGACGATGTATTCCTGGCTGGTGTGATGCACATGGGCTGATTGCTGCCAGTACTTGAACGGAACAGCACAGGAAGGCGAAGGGGGAGTGGAGACAAGCAGGGGAGAAGGGTTGGTACAGAGGGATCTTTCCACAGGAAAACTCCCTTTTTGGAGGGTAGGAGGGATATTAGTTGGTAACAGCAAGAGCATAAATTTTTGCACTCCTATAAATCATTATTACTGGAACGTCCCTGAGGGGATGAGAAGAATGAATCAGTTACACACACACAGTGCCAAACTTTCTCTGTTTCCTTTTCTCTTTCAAGAAAACAAAAACCAAACACCACAAAACAGACAGGAGAAAGGTAGAGAGGGAAAGTAGAGAGAAAAAGAGAACAGCAGCAAAAAGAGGAGGAAAAGAAAGGGAAGAATGAGAAGAAGAGAATGAATGAACTTTGGAAGCAATTTATAATTCCTTTCACCTACATCATGAATTGAACATGCAAAAAAAAAAAAAAAAAAAAAAGGAGGGGGAGGGAAAATATTCCGCCCAGCATGCAGATTATCATTTGAAAAGATTCTGTTGCTATGTTTTTGTCCCTGGGTGATGAAAATGAAATTGTCTGATGTGTGCGCCGTGTTAGATTTACCTTTGCAGGGTTCACCCACAATCAGTAGAGAGGGGTCATGCCACAATATGTCATCTCACAGCTCCATCACACCAACTCCAATTTATACGAGGAGGTATTATGCATTTCAAAGGAGCCCCCTGCGCGTGGCTCTTGTTACTGATCTATATCACAGCTCAGCTGAGGGAAGATTAGTTCTGCTGCAAGGGCAACGAGACTTATTTGTTTATGATTATATCCTCCTTAAAGATGCACTATTCCCTTTTTTTAATGTCTAATTTAAAGTGTGCATTAAAAGGGGCTGGGGAGGGGTGGGAAGTAAAAGGTGAGAGAATTCTGCACTCTCCCACAAGGAAACCTAATAGTCTGAGTCTCCCATGCATCCTGCTCATTAAAAAAAAAAAAAAAAAGAGAGAAGAAAAACTCCATTTAAATGCAAATTTGAGTTTTAGCTGGGGACTCCCCCAAAAGCTTCTCTTGGAAGCACCAGGGAAATAGGATTCAGAAACCTAAAATGGCTGACGGCGGTTGCACACCACAGAAAGCGTTTCCTCCCTCCTGTGTCCCCATTCCTGCACAGCCCGACCTGCTCAGGTGCAGCAGCGCTCGTCACATCGCTGCTCCTCGGCCAGGCCCAGCAGTGCTGCCCTGCAGCTCCCACTCACTGTTGCTTTAATCAACATTCTCCCAGAAAGTCAATGTTTCCATCCCCGATAAAAGCTCTGAAGGGTTTAACGAGGCCGCCGAGCACAGCACAGCTGGGAAGCCTGCAAGCAAGGCTTCATTTTGGGGCTTCAGCTCACAGCATGCAGGCGGCCTTGAGAAACCAGTGGCTTGAGGAATGTCAGCTCAGCAGGGATGTAGATTTGTTGGACAGGACACGGAAGGAAGTGGGTTGGCACTGCATGGTCCCATCTGTGGCCCCGGGCACATGAGAGCATCCCACCTGGCTGCTCTCACCACTGCATCCTGCTGCTGTCACTTTGCTAGGACACCAAGCCCACGTATGAAAAGTCCTCCCTGTTTCCCCAAGGAAACTACAGCATTGTCCAACCCCGAGGACACTACAGCATTTTCAACACCAAGAGCTGCACCCACACTCAGACTCAAAGCATTAAACATTTTCTGCTTAAGTGCAAAATCTTTAACATATGGCTCATTAAGTTTCCTCAAACGCCAAACTATGGCTGGAGAAGGAAAACCCAAGATGCTGAGGGCTGGCTGCAGGCACCCCTAAACCCACAGCTCTCCTGCTCTGGGGGCACCGGCTTCCACCAAGCCAAGCCCAATGCATCACCAGCCCACAGCAGGCAGGACATCCTCCATTCTCCCTGCTCCCTTTCTCCTTCTTCTTTGTAAAACTGCACTCCTTCCACTCCTTTGAAAGCTCATCATAGGATGGGTGAAAACAATTAAATGAAATAGACTGGTAATACCCATGGGAAAACATTTTTCGATATGATATTACAATCTTGTTTCAAAATTGGATTTTGCCAAGAGGAAATACAGTTTATTATAAAACACATTTTCTTTTAATTTAATTATATAATCTTTGGCTTCAGAGAAGGGATGCTTAAATCAGACCCATTTAATTTTCAAGTGTATTCACCCATCACCTAGGGCAAATTGGTTTAAATTAGTAGGTGACTATATAAGTTCTAGATACACGTCAGACAAAAATTTATCTGTGAACTCTGTGTAAGAGTGCATCGACATCAGCAGCACAGCAGCTGAAATTACAGGGGAAGAAGAGCAGAGCACCTGAAGAGTGGTATAAACTCCGATTTCAGGGACAGGCACAACAACAACAAAAACCCCACAGATCTGGGATTTTTTTTATTATTATTTTTTTTTCTTTGTTAATGCTTTGCCAGATCAGTTCATCACACTGCATGTCTGCACTACGCCAATAAAAACTGATGACCTGCAGTTAGTTTCTACCAGGTGCATTAAATTCCCATAACGTGAACAGATCTTGCTAAGTCTACCATGGCCTCTCCTTCCGCAGAGATTACATTTCCAGCCTAATGACAGCAGCGGTT